CTCGTCATTATGACAACATCTGAAGATTCGCCTCTCGAAGTTTTCGGGTCGAGAGGCCTTGCGGCAGTAGTATGTTCTTTTGCATTTGGGTGACGTGGTAGGCCGCAGACGGCGGAACGCTAAGCTTTATGGCGATAGAGACATAGTTCAACATACCCAGATATAGCGGCTATGCGGGCTAGTCACGGACGCGATATTTAGTTCACCAATTCAAAGCAAAGGATATTAAATTTGCCTTCGGTATCGAAACTTCGGATCAATCATTTGTTTTAATGACTTAGATCAAAGCAACGAGTTGCCTTTTGTTACGAACTTACGGCCCCTGATCTTCAGCTAAACTTGTATTCGGAGTATAAAAGAAGTCCTAGACTATCCAGGATGACAAAACTGTATGAAGGGATACCGGCTAATCAAAGTCGATGGCAATTCGGATTGTCAATACCTCTCTCTCTCTCTCTCCCGGCTTCATCAAAACCAGGCCATCGTCATCTAGAACAAACGAGTTATATGTAGATGCACCGTGAGACCCGAGTAACCCTGTCGTTACTAGGGTCTGGGTCATCGCCATCTAGAACAAACGAGTTATATGTAGATGCACCGTGAGACCAGAGTCATCCTGTCGTAGCTGGAATCTGGATACTGTATTAGAGTTAACACATCTAACCACATCCTTATATGTTCGCTAAAACCGACTCATCCAACAATCTGTCCCACATCAATCCAAATCTGTACAAACATCACGTCCTGGAAACGTCAACAGACTTGCTTCGTCTGTTTCTAAACGGAATTGCTTAACCGCTACCGCAAAAACATCGTCCGAAACCTGAGTTATGTATTCGATCTATAATCATGCAAGACCACCAATATCCTGTGTAAGAACAGGCTCACTTTTTACTCACGATAACTCGCAAGTACTGCAGCACGATTATTGGCCCAATGACAGGTCACAAGTAACATGCACGAGCTCAAGTAGAAAGTGCATCAGGAGAATGCAATGAATGAAACGCTGGAACTGTTCGACCTTCTCTAGAACTCTTACTACAGCTAGGAGCTACACAGTTTAAATGGTTAGATGAAATATGAAAATTGGTTGTCACGACCGTCCAAGACTTTAAACAAAGCACTGACATCCGCTGCAATTCAACTGAACCTCCAACTGGCGCTACACAGGTTCGGAGCTGTACGAGGTGATTAACAAAAGTTCGGTCAGTTGGCGATTTTCAGTTTGTTTTTGTTAAATCTAAAAGTACCAAATCCATGCAATCATTTTATTAGTCTTCCTTTCAAATTTTAGAACAATCGGCTGAAATGGAGACGAGAAAACGTAAGATAGCTGAAGATAGGTCATACGAAATTCCGCCACCAACGCAAAGAGAAACTCGCCATGTGATTCCCTTCGGCTTTCAGCGTAATTTACAGTCAATACAAATATTCAGCGAACACCAAATTGCATCTGGAATGATTGCAGCTTCTTTAAAGACCATTCCTAAGTGGTTGCGAAGATTCCTGACCGGACGTTTTTCCGTAGAGGAGGAGCCCCGAGAAGGCCGACCAAATTCTTCCACAGATGACGCCACTGTAGCTCTGTAGCGCCATCCCACATTGCGAAAATAATAAGTAATTTTATTGCGATCTCTGAGGTCGAAGAACTACTTCCAGCACCATATTTCCCCGGATATAGCTCCTTGAGATTTCAAAAAAAAAAAAAGGAAAAAAAATTAAAAAGAAAGGTCTTTAATAGCAACGGGCAGATAATTAATGCGGTTAATGCTGAACTTGATAAGCTTAAAAAGTAAGATTTTGAATACTGTTTTCAGAAGTGGATCTATAGGCTTAGGAAAAGCATTGAAATCAATGGCGATTATGTAGAGAAGAAAAAAAGCACAAAGATTACGAATAAAATCGAAACGAACAAAGAGAAAAATTTTTTTCTGGTCAACTTAGTTAACACCCTCGTATGTAAGGCTTGAAATCCAGCTAGTACAGCCTTAACTAGTCCATCGTAGACTTTAAGAACACGGGATTGGAAGCGAACCACAGTCTCATGCACGACACTTCTCCCCAGAGAGTTTTTGTAGAGGCTACCCATAAGTTGAGCTCGAGTCTCCAAGCAGCATAGTCTCATAAGTCCGCCAAAAGCTCACTCTTTACTTACAATCCGTCTACCCATGTGAGTAGAAAACCCAGACAAATACTTAGTTCAGATGAGCAGGCGGCAAACCTGTACGGTGCAACGAACGGACGAAAAAAAGAAAGAAAGCATGGATGGTTGTCTTGAAGAATGCATTTTATCACGTAAACGTCAATTAAGCAACAACAAATTATTTAGCCAATATGGGCGTTAGCATTTACACATGGCCAGCCTCTTAATTTCATAGTACAAAATGCAACTAATGGCAAATACCACACACACACACACACACACAAACACACAGGCGTACATACACACTTCTAAATAGATAGAGGATGCTATTTTGTGTTAAGCAAAAGAAAAATTTAGAGGTGGAATTTGATATGCAACACCCACGCGATATTTTCAAGCGACTCCTTACGCGCATACATACATACATGCATACATACATACACACACGTTGCACACACTCTGAGTTCCTCAACATGTGTGGGTTGCATTGGCAATTTAAAAATGCAAATTTTGTCTAGCTTTCATTTGACTCTCTGATAGTAGAGCCCACAATGTCTAAATGACAGCTCAATAACGATAAGGATAACGTATTTTTAATAAACTTGTCAGTCATTAAGTGTCTTTTTAGCAAGCGCTAAGGTGTTTCTTAGAGAAACATACATACATTACGTGCATAAAGATGCACATGTGGCAGCTTAATAGATTCAATTTCATTTCGGGTGGGCTGTAGCGGTAATAAAATGCGCAAAGTTATTCGTTAGTTGGATGTGTAGATATGTCATATGCATATGTATGCGACTCAATGAGCCGCGCGTACACTCCAAAACAATCCACAGTTCGTACTACCTGCAGTGGAATTAGGGTCATTCCCCCTTCCGGTCGTTCTCCCTTAAGCCACTCTCAAACTCCAGTCTCAAGAACGTGGTCATCGGCAGCTTTATATTGCCGAGTGCTTAGCAGAAGGTACAGACATTTGGAAGACCAGGCTCTGAGTCCTAGTCCGACCAACATCTAAAATTATACAAAATTAATTTTTCTAATTGTCCCGAGGAAATCCAACGCAGAATTACTCTTGCCAATAGTTGCTACTTTGGGTTGAGTAGGCAATGGAAAAGTAAAGTCCTTTCTCGACGAACGAAAACCAAACTCTACAACTCGCACATCATACGCGTTCTTCTATACGGTGCAGAAGCGCGGACGAAGCCAGTATCGGATGATACGGCCCTGGGAATTTTCAATGAATGAAGAGACAGCGACCGCGCTGACTAGGTCATGTCGTTCGAATGGAGGAAATCACTCCTTCTTTGAAAATACTCTACGGAGTACCCTTTGGTGTGAGCAGAGGAAGAAAGGATCAGTTGGAGAGCGACCTGATTTCGGAGGTGGCTTAGCATAAGCTACAGAACTCTCTGTTTGTTGGAAAAACATTAAGACGCACACTGCAAATTGGAGGAGGAGCTTGACCGAAAATCACTTTAGCTGCTTCAAAGCGAAAATTATAAATAAGAAGACCACAAGCATTTGAATGGGCTGGTATATCTGCGAGCTGGTGCCGAGCGGGGTCCTTCTCTATCATAAATCCTTTACGCAAGGACTAGTAGATCACAGCTTGATGGAAGTGTCGGTGCGTGAGTTTTCTGTCGTACGCTATAAGACTCAAGTAGCCTAGACCGTTGGTTGGCTCAAACCGTGGAGCGTTTCGCTGTTCTTACGTGGCTTGTATATCCAACAATATCACTAAACTGGTTGAGTTGAAGCTTGACGGAATAGTCAGTGCCGTTGTCTGCCATCTAGAATTATTCATCGGTATAGAGCTCAGGTTTACAGCTCAATGCTGTTTTTTCCAGTAGAAGTAGCTTTGGTCAAAGAGCCGGCGGACACATTGCTTCGAAGTGGGATTTCTGTGAGACAGACAAACATTTACTCAGATAGCCAATCGGGTATTATGAACTAGGACTCACTCGTGGTGAAGAAATATGTCTAAGCTCTGTCTAAGGCGGCGATGTAGTTCAGTATACAAACTCATATTGGGACTGTATTGCTGATTAGTCTGCACGGAAGGTCACCATTAGTGCTTTAAAGTCAGCTGAAGTGATTATCTACGCTCCTCTGCTTCTGTACAGATGTACCATAAACCTTCGACCACTGGGCTGGGCGAATTCGCAAGATCCTGCTGATCCAAGGTGAATCGGGGTAGGTCAAGGAAGCTTATTTTTATCCTTTACTTAAAACTCTAGGAGTTCTGATCGGACATGGAAGAGAGGATCTGTACGAAGGCGAATTAGAAAGCTACTTCTCAACAATTTTACGTTTACGAATAGAAGGAGACAGCTTCTAGGAAGGTGATTGCGTGGAGCTGCATAGAAAAAGGTGTAACCTCTAGGATCTGTACGCAAGCAAACTTGGGCGAAAAATACAAAACGAGGAACCTTAGTTAAACCTTTACTTCAATAATCATTTTTTAACACCTTAAGAGCTTTCCAAAAGAGCTAGTTTTTCACACGAAATAAATCTCATACACACGAACCACCACATTTCGCCAAATCACGATTGAAAATTTATCAATTGCTTTAACTTTAATAAATCAACAACAACATTTCAACACGTTCGACCCGACTACACTAAGTACATAGGCATTTGAACGATGTGATATGACAGCAAGTACCGTTAACTGTCAAAAAATCATGACAAGTGTACGCCGGCAGTACTTTTAGCGCTCTTTTTCTGTTTTTGTTTTTTTTTTTTGTTTTTTTTTTTTGTGCACAAACAGGCGAAGTAACTCAGTTATAGATATGTATGTAGAGTATGTATGTATATAAGTATGTGGAAATAAATAAATAAATATTTATGCACTTACATTTTCGCATGATGTACGACATGAGCCAAATACTTTACTGCAACAAGTGTAAATGTCTGCAAGAAAGAGAAAAAGACAAGGAAAAAAAAATTAGCAAAAGTGATTATTGGGAAAGAAATTTTATGTGTAATATACAACAAAAAAAAAATTGAAAAAAAAACTGAAAAAAATGGAAAAAATATTATTTACGGCGCATACAGTAATGCGAGTGCGCACACATGTGATTGAAAAGAGTGCGGGGAGGGTGATAAGAGGCCGCAAATGCAAATAATGTTTTAATGGCTGAGCAATCTTTCATATTTTGACATTTGAAATAATTTATTTTGCGCACATTTTGGGAGCTCCGCGCATGTGGCATGACGAACAAGATGCCGTAAATGGTTATTTTCTTTTTATTTCATTTATTTATTGCTTTTTAAATATTAATACAAAATTCTTTACCTTTCTTTACTCTTTTTTTGTTGCTTTATTTTAACTTTTCATACATTCATACTTCAGTCTTCATCTTTTCCTTCTTAATTGATCATAGCCGCGTCATCAGTGGAAAGCCAGTTATTTCTTCTTTTAGTCGCTCGGCGCTAATGAGAGACATGATGTGAAGCTAGGTCCTTCCCCAAATGATCCATCACTTTCTTCTTAACCCCTGCTGGTTAGGGGCTCAAGAATTTACCCGCAGTACACATGCCTGTCGCAAGAGGCGACTAAAATCTAATAGTTCCCGCGACAGTCGGGTCTTTACACCGGAACGACCCGGATTTTTAACCGGCCAAGGACTGTCACTCCCGCAACATTCCCCAAAAAGTACTTTGGGGAATAATTTTGCGGTCACAACAACAATAACACTTTCCCTACTTCTACCATTGGGTATTTTATCGAAATCCCTCAAAGCTGGAGCCGGTTTCGAAAACTTTTTCGGTTTCGAAAAATTTTCCGGTTTCGAAAACTTTTCCAAAATGCCTCATTTTTACGTAGAAGTTTTTAGCCTTCTTATGGCCTCCACAAGGTCTACGTACTCACGCATTTCAGCCTTTCACTTTTTCTATTTTCAAATGCCGTTCGCTTCCCACTTCAAACGTTCACTGCTGTAGAAAAATTTTGAAGGCATTAAAATGGCTGATAGCCACACCGGTGGTGGCCGATCCACCACTTTTTCATTGCTTTCTACAGCCAGGTTAGTGGGACCTAACCGATATTCATCGCCTTTTCCCGCATTTGGACTTTGTTTGGAAGTATTTAATCGACTTAAACAAGGTTTGCTTCGGTTATCGGGCTGATCTATAGATATGTATCTAATATCTTCAATGTTACCGATAGACTTGCCTACCGCCTACTATTCTTCCATGCTAGGAAAGGAGTAGGTGACATCCACCCGCCAGCAGGTTTGTTCTACCCGAACGTCCACCAAACGTGTACTCCCAAAGTTAGTATTTCTATATCTGGCAGCTTTTTTACAAAATCGGTGCACTATTTTGTGCTTGTAGCCACCATGCAGGTATCACAGATTCGGAGAGCGCTGATTTTTCACACTCTTGATGGGCGATTGGTATATTTACCCGAAGTCCGGATAATAATATCATCCGTATAGCAAACTATCTTGGCAATTTTCTGCTGAAAGTAGCTAGATAATTTGGTTTTCATGATCATCGCCACCATGAATGATATGGATAGGAGACCCCTTTGATTGTTTAACATATGCCTGAGTGTTCTATGTTAATTTTTTCTGTTTATTTCATTTACTTGTTAACTTCTAGTCTTCTCTTATGCCAACCTATTTCACGTTCTATTCATTAAATTCGCGTCTATCAAGTCTCCCAACTGAGGCAAGCATATGCCGTTAAATCCATTCTTATGCGAGCTCCATTCACATATAATATATCCATCCACCACTAATGCTCTCCACCTCTCGCCAGCTGCTCATGCACTCTCCAGCGGTAGACATATTCAACTTCTAAATCATGTCCAATCATCATTCGCTTCTTCTACTCATAATCACCAACAAAGCGCGCTACTTTCTGATCTCTCCAATGCACCATCTCCCATAAACTTTCCCTGCACCGCTTACTTACTCTTACATACATACATACAAGCCTTAAGATTAACGGCATCACTGCGCTTTGCATGCAATTTTTTTTTTCTTCGCATGTGATTAATGTCGGGTAATTCGCAATTTTTTAATTTATTTTCAGCTCGTTTCCTTCACACTCATACACACACACACACACGAGACTCCTTTGGATTTTGTGCGATCTTCGTAGCAGCAACCGTGATCGTGAAGGTTGTTGTACAAGTCCGTTGCCGACGTCAGGGGATGGCACATATGAGGCACGGCTGAAGCTAACATACAAATATACATATGTATGTAAATACCTATATATGTTAATCTCTATATATATATATAAATGTTTACTATTTAATTTTTTTTAATCTTCCGTACAAGTGTCACCAGTCGAATCGAGTTGAGTTCAGTGGAGTTGGGTTGAGTTCAGTCGAGTCGTTCGGCCGGGTTGCAGGCAACCAATTCAATGGCCTCAACACGTATAACAACAACGTGTATTTCAGTTGGTGCACTTTGTTTGCTTGCGATCCCCTTGGTCGCATGGTTTCTCTGTTCACCCATCTGCCTGCCTGACTCTACTCTTGAGGCCTCCTAACTTGACATACTATTATTTATAAGTGTGCAAATACTCGTACTCACAGTTGCATACGTGTACATATGTAAATATGCATGAAATAAACTGTTTGTTATTGCGAAAGTGATCTTTTCGATCGTATTTACTGCTGTTTTTGCTGGCGATCGCCAGTCCAGATGTGGTCTTACCGCCGAGTGGCACTTTTAGTGTGAATGGTGACACTATTGGTGCACAAAAAAGACTTGAGGGATTTTCGTTTTGTTTTTGTGTGGTAATTTTTTATTGCTTTTTTTATTTGTGTAGGCGTGTGTGTACTTTTTCGTTTTTTGTTTTTCGTTTGGCTGGCAGCTGTGTTACATTTATTTTAGCAGCAGACTTTAATGAGCAACCCGGTTGTAGAGTTAAAGAGCTGGAAGTTAATTTGCTGGAAATTGTTTGAAATTAATTATTTTTTTTTACCAGATTACTTTGCAGAGCTGAAGAAAGATTGACAGTGAGCCAAGATCTGCACTTTAATTTGATTTGTTTTTCTCAAAGGTTTGCCAATAAGTGACCATTTCAAGAGGAACAGCCGAACTCTAATTAACTTTAAACAACCTGACTTAAGTTCGCAGGGCTAATGCTCCAATATTTTATAAGAAAATTCGGTTTCAAGACTACACCAAGCTCTTGTAGGACCCAAAGGGATGATTTAGCGACTAACGTCCGTAGGGACCACAACTCCGGCATACTAAATTACAGTGAAAGAAAAACATCCGTAGATGGTGAACCCGAATTACTATGGTATAGAAGTTTCATCACCAAATTATGTTTTATGAAGTCCGAACAGAGCCGCGGGTGCCGATAACTCACCGCCTGAGCTATTCAAGCATGACGAGGAAGAACTAACAAAGTGCATGCTCAAGCTGCTTTGCAAAATTCAAACAGTTAAGTGCATGTCAGTCTATGGGAATCTAAATGGGCTCTACCCAATTCACAAGAGGCAGACCACAGTCCGCGAAGGTTTCATCGGAAGGAAAATGAAGCCCACCGTCCACGAAATGATTGCACCTTAATAGCTCGGTCACAGAATTAATGAATTAGTTCACCGCCAAGAGCAAAATTTTGAGGAGAAAAACTCTTCAGAGCCACCACTTCGCCTATTGTAAAGCTGCCTTCGTTAGAACGCAGAGTAGCTGCCTGTTTGTAGCTATGACAAAATTCAATATTCCCACGAACTCTAAGCAACACCAACGTGACAATTGGAAAGAACCATACCGAGCCATTCAATATTCAACGAAGGTTTAGAAATGTGACTATTTTTCTTGTGTCTTCTTCAACCGAATGCTGGAGATAATAATACGAGCTGTAGAGCTAGACAGAGAGATACAATTTTCTATGAGAGCAGACGACTCTTGACATATGCCGATGATCTTGACTTTATTGGCCCAACAACTGCGTCCTTAGCCCTGCTTTCTACAGACGATATAGGAAACCGAAGCGTATGGGTCAGGCAGTGAATGACATATCTTCTGCCATCAAACGCATAATCACTCTTGAAAAGAGGTGATACCTTAGACTGAGTAGACAGTTGAAAAGTAAAGCCCTCGCTCGATGAGCAGAGACCAAACTGTAAAAGTCGCTCATCATACCCGTCATACTATACGGTACAGAAACATAGACGCTGACAGTTTTCGACTAGTCGTATTCGACTGAAAGGTTTTGTGGTCATTTACGACGACATTAACATGGTTCAGCGGATCAAGTGCTAAGTCAAATAGTCCGAATGGATAAGGCAAATTTAAAAGGTTTTCGTCACAGCAATCGAAAGTGGAAGCTGGGAAAGCTTGTCGATTGTGAAGTGAAGATCAGTCAGGAGCATTGCAAGAGCTACCAATGCATCCGAAAGAAGTCACAGTTTTTTATAGGCTGATGGCATCATTGGAGCGTACTTCTTCAAAGATGATGCGAATCGTAACTGTGAAGGGTGAGCGCTACCGTGGGTTGGCCAAAAAGGCAAGAGACATATGGTTTCAACAAAATGTTGCCAAATGCCACACAGCACGCGTAACAATGGACTTATTGAGAGGCGAGTTCGGTGTTTAATTTATTTCACATTCGGGACCGGTTAATTGGCCGCCTAGATCGTGCGATTTAACGCCTTTGTAATATTTTTTGTAAGGTTTTGGTAAAGCTAAGGTCTATGCAGACAAGCCCACTTCAATAGACGCATTGGAGGACAACATTGAAGCATTTATTCCAGTGATAACGGGCCGAAATGTTGGAGAGAGTGTGCCACAATTGGACTGAGCGGATGGACCATTTGAGGCGCAGTCACAGCCAACATTTGTATGAAATTATCTTTAAACATTAAATTATATGGACCATACTATTGATTCAAATAAAGATTTTATGCATTTTTCTGGATTTCATGTGTTTTTTTTTAACTTTCCTATAGCTCTTAAAAAATCACTCTTTAGAATAACAATATTTTCTTTCACTTCTTCACCCCTTGGCTCTCCAACTAAAAGAAGAAGAAGCGAGAACTGTTTATTGTGAATATTTTCTAGTGATGAGTCAATCTTTATAAAGCACCAGAATATTGAGTCCTCGGTGTGTTCGAAAATAATTTTAAAAATATTAACTCCCTCAAGGCACAACAAAATAATATACGCGTTCTTTTATTTGTTTCCTCGAACTTTTTTACTATAATTATAGCATAAACTTCAAAGTTGCGGCGAAAAATATAGTTTACTCAAATAAAAATGCGTCAGCCATGCGAAATTATGTGAAATTTTCTTAATAGCTTCATTTGAGTGCAGGAGAAAAATTCTACATTTCAAAATTCATATAAATAATATTAAAAAATACACTTTTTTCTATGAAGCCAAATATCAAAGAGTTTTACATTAAATTAAATTTCGCCACAAAAATAATGTAGTGATAATTAAATAAGTCTGTGCAGGTACATAACATGTGTACATATCTACAGTCGCTCACATAAAAATTTGCACACTCAAAATTTTACAATACCTCCCCTAATGTTATGGAAGGAGTCAGCTGAATATGTAGGCCTTTCGGTGCTGTAATTTTAAGGATGGTGAGGATTGTGGCAAGACGTTCATGCGCCGATAGGAAATACAGGTTTCAGTGGTATTTTATATTGACCAACTCTAATCGACCCTTTCATATGGCCACATGTCACAAGAACCTACTAGTTTTCTCACTTGTCCCGTGCAACTCAATTCTTGGACGGTCTTACGTGCACTTTCCAAGTGCATACTCTCAAGAAATGGTGCTTAAAACGTTTGCAGTAGTCACTATTAAAAACGAGGGTCTCTCAGCCAAGACATTGTTTTCCTAAGCCCAAAGTACAATCACTCTGCGCGTTAGATGAGAATTTAGGACAAATTTATCGCTTACCTCAAGACCGCTGTGCGCTCGCAGTCACACCTCTGGCGAACTGACTCTACAAAAGGACACCGGTGAACACTTATATCGAATTTGTGGTTGTGTCAGAGTAAAGCTCCCTCTATTTTAGTTCAGTTCCAAAGCTCAACAAGGATTGTTTAACACATCTCACACAGAGATTGATCTTTATTTCGAACTCTTCAACCGCTAATTACCAGATTGCCAATCACAGCCACAATAGACTACACTAACACTAACACTAAACAAGAAAGTACTTTTAAGGGTGAGTTACCGTTATGAGTAATAAACACAACTTTCTGTTCACTTCCATTTTCTTCGCTGCGCTGACTCTTGCTAATAAGTGAGCTTTTGTATGATCCTCTTTCGTGTTTTGTAATTCTCAATGACTTTATATAAATTTCTGATTGAAATAATTAATGCCACTCTCGTTCAATTATCGCTTCTCGGCCTTATGGCTAAGATCAAAGTGTAGTATCTGTTCTTATCAGCTTAACAACTGGTAGATCCTCCAACGGAGGGCAAACAATGTTAAATTGATTTTTGGAAATTGGCGGAGAGTGTTTTAGAGAGCTTGCTCTATCTCTGTCGTGGGTTGGCCCGGTTTTGCAGTACTACCAGGAATTTCAGCCCAATTTAATGAATTAATTAAAGACACTTACATAAGCTGAAGATCAGTGCTAGAGCTTATGCAGTGTAATAAATAATTTTACTCAACAAGTTGTTGTTGTCGAAGCGAAGGTAAAAAATCCACAAATACAAAAGATTTCAGGTGCTCTGGAACACTCTATCATCTTTGAATTTCCAGCATCTACACGGACGGTTTAAAAATGGATGGATCTATTATGCTGGGTTGGATAACAGGCAACCCGTCAATCTTACAAAATATTGCATTGCAACAATCCAATACATCACTAAATCCTTTGAAGCAGCGGATATAAGCGACGACTGAGTTCCAAGCCGCAAGCTATTGTAGGCAATCAATTGATGAAACGATAGCCGAAAATACCATCCCCTACATAAATATAAAAGACTTTGAAGCGGATATGGACTATAAAAAATGGCTAAACGGCCTGGCAACGGGGGAACACATAGACACTTTTTGTTCATGTAGTCTTGAAGCGACGGTCCATAACTTATAACTTCTTAAGAACTGTAGATAGGAAAGTGTGAATGAAACGCTGCCTAACCAAATACCATTATTCCTCAGTATCCCTCGATTGCATACTTTAGGTATTGGGTTTGGCTTCGTGCCATTTATTGTACTTATGAATATAATGCCTAAGGTAAGACGTCCAAAGGCTTGCAGGTTTGCTTGCTTAGAGTCTCACCAGCATCAGAAACGTCTGAAAAACAAGAGTTCCTAGATAATGTAAGCTTGGCTTACAGAACCACTTCGATCACTTGCTCGCTGCATCATTTTTGAGGAGTCACAGCCCACAATTAATTCATCACGCAACAACGGTATAGTTATCCCACTCCATCTCGAACTACCGAAGAAAATGTTACGCCAAAAAATTAAATTGAAATTTTCAAGCGAAGCTCACCCCTGAACTCCACTTAATTCATTAAGTTAATGAACATCACGACCCACCACCACAAATTTTTCCTTTGGAATTTACGACTAACATTTGTAAATGCCTCGAACTCCAAACATCGGACTGATTAGCAGGTTGGAGAGTCATTAGGACCCTCATTGATTTCACAATGCACCCTTTTAGTGGGCTAATGCCCGGCAAGCACTTCAACCAACCAACCTTAGACGTTCCATGTGATGATTACTCGTTTTAAATAGAATCTTCTTCCAGCGGACGGAGAAGGATCTTGCTTCTTTTGGTATCTGGGACTGCCGTCAAACTGCGAAAAGAAGGAAAACCTGGCATGCTATTGTTAATTTGGCTATAATCGCCTAAGCGGTAGCTACACCAATCATAAAGAAGAAGATCTGAACCCCCCACCCTCTCCTGCGGATTAGGCGCTCAAGAATTTACCTGCGGTAAGGCATGCCTGTCGTTAGAGGTGACTAAAATCCAATAGTTCACGCGACAGTTGGGTCCTTATACCGGAACGACCTTAAGGACAGTCACTCCCGCAACATTCCCCAAAAAGTACTTGGGGGAATATTTTTGCGGTTGCAACAACAACAACAAGTGTAACGTAACCTATACTTTCCAACTGAATATATGTATGTAGGCATACATTTTTGTAAGAACACCGTAATTTCATGAAATTTAAATTTCATTTTAAGTTTTGCACGATTTTTATTGCAAGCGACTGTATGTTATGTGCCCATGTGACAAATCAAACATTCTTTCACAGTTAAATTAAGAAAAATATTTGCATCTGTATGTACGTATGTATGTATGGGCGCGTAAATCAGTGCTTTTTAAGCGTTCACTAGCTGTGTGTGTGGTCAATTCGCGTGCGTAATATAAATTTGAAAAGAAAAAAATTAAGAAAATTTATTTTTATTCACATTTCACACATGTACATACGCACACACACAACAACTCTTTACTCGTTGTTTCATGTGTCTTATATTATGTTTATTTTCCTGTGGCTAGTGGTAATTAGTTACTGTGACAGCGGCGCAGAGAAAAATGTGACAAGAGACAAGAGTGTTTCACAGAAATTAAAATTAGAATAAAAAAAATAAAAAATAAATGTTGTTTATTTCCAATAACCATAACTGTGCAGAAAAACAAAAACAAAGTAGAGTGTGGCAATTGAAAGAATTGGAGAGTAAGGAAAAAATAATTTATTTTCGTATTTTTTTCTTTTTATATGACAAAAAAAGACGAGAAAATGTATTTTATTATCTATTTTTGTGCACAGATTTTTTTTTGTAATTTTTATAAAACAAAAAATTTCTTAATAAAACCGTTTGTGTGCCAACCGGAACTTCCGGGCCGCTAAAGTCGTATTCAAAATATTAATTTTCGGTTTCTTGATTTTAGTTTAATTTAATGTTTAAAACTAAACTGTATACATATGCACATATTTACAATATATGTATATATGTATATGTATATATGTATGTATTTAAGACAACAATCACGTGCTACAACAACAACTATAATAATAGAACAACTAAAAAATAAGTAAACACAAAATACCAATGATGACAACAACTACAGCAACAACCAGCTAACAATAACAACAACAACTGCACCAACTAACCAGGAACAACGATAACCACAAAACAACCAATAAACACAACACAGAGGCAACACTTTTGTATGCATTAATAACTTAAAAGCAACAACAATAAATGTTGAGCAACATGCACTTCTGAGTGGCAGCAACCGGTAGACAACAAAAAAGAATTCAAACACATGTTGCACACAAATAGAATATAAAAAAGCAACAAAAAAAACGAAAATAACAAAATTACAACGACAAAAGTGGGAGAACGCGTGCTAAGCTCAACGAATAGTGAAGACATTCTAATCGCCAGTGGCTACTCGGCCCACTCATCGTGAGATTTGCATGTTTGTACGAGTATGCATGCATGTGTATGTTTCTTTGTGTTTCCCACACAATAGCAAGTGCAGGCATGTAATGAATATATGTATGTATATACATACGTATGCACATATGCAAATGCATGCATACTGCTACATACGTACATATGTATGTGTGCTATAGGAGAAATTCTCAGTTGTCGCACACTCGGTAAAATGCCGTTGGCGCTCATTGTTGACTCGTTCCTTCGTTCATTCGCTTCGATGACAGTTCATCATTATTCAAATGCAACAAGAATTATGCGTTGTTGTTTTGTTGCTGTTCTAGGTATTAAGCGCTTGTTGTTGCTTTTTTATTATCAAAAAACAATATTCGCAATGCAAGGCAGTAATAATAAATAGTAGCTACAGCAAAAACCATAATTATTAATTTATGTATGGCGAATGTATACTTTCACATGTATTCAAATACATACAAACATATGAATGTATTTATGCATAAGCGACTCTTAAGCAATTGTCGACTCACAAAGTCATTTGACTTGCATATTAAATAATTATAATTATAAATAATATAGAGATTTCAGCACAAACATTATGGGAGTGTGATTTTATTTATGATTATAATTAAATAAAATTTAAATAAAGGTATAAATTATTATATGTGTACATAAATAAAACTAATAGTTATTTATCTGGAGTTTGCTTGCACAAACGAGGCAATAAATAAAATAAAAAAATCAAATATAATACAATAATGTACATTTAAAAAAAAAAAAAAATTAATTGGAAAAAAAATAAATTAAGGTAAACTAAATAAAGCAAACCAAAACAAAATAAAATAAATAAAAATAAAATACACCAAATTGATACAAACAAATTAAATCAAGTAAAATTCCGAACTATATTCAGAATCCAAATTGCAAATGGACACCATCTTGCGAGGAAATGCTTTCCCTGATTTACCGAAGTATATCCACGCTCCCCCTCCCCTCATTTTTAATAAGACTATGCACGCTAAATCCGAAATGAGTAACATCACAAGCCACAGCAGAGTGAAATGGGCAATTAGCTCGAAAACCTTAAAACCTCCAGCAATAGTTGAAATTTTTTAGCGCGTACTACAGGCAAGGGACCTTATTACACATTGGGAATATTTCTGGACATCGAGAAGGCCTTTAACAATGTCTATCAGGAATCGTTACGTCTGCACTCGGAGAAGCGGGTCTCGGGGTACAATATCTTGAAATATCTCTTAACAGACAGAGAAATTTTCGCAGAATCAGAAGGCACATCAGTTGCAAGGTATGCCAATAGAGGCGACCCACATGGGTAAGTTCTCTGCCGCCTTCTAGCGCTGCTTCGCAAGCTCATAAATATGGTTTGCGACGCAGCGATATACGCGGATTGCTCTCACAGGTACTGAAAAACACCTCTAGATCCTAAACGATCTGTTTCAAAGTGCACTGCATGCAGTAAGAAGCTGATGCAAAAGATTTTGGTATAAAGAAAGGTAAAAGGAATCTCTGTATCACGACCAACAGAGGCCTAACTAACTATTTAACTAACTAGTTCGGAAGTTCTTATGCATCCACCTCATAGTCCGGATCTCGCACCAAGTGGTTACTATCTGTTCCTGTCGATGGCGAATGATTTGGTTGGCGAAGAAATGATCTCAAAGAGAAACTTGTGAAAATCGATTATTTCAATTTTTTGCCAATATGAAAAAGAGTTTCTGGAGAGAGGCAGAATGGCATTACCTTTAAAATGGCAAAAAGTTATCGAGCAAAATAGTGCATACGTAACATAAATAGGATAATTCTAATTATGACAAATAAAGTATTTTCAAATTTAATGCAAAAATAACGGATGCGTTGTTACTTCACCTAATATAAAAAAAAAATAATAATATAAAATAAAAAAATATATTAAAATAAAATAGATTAAAAGAAATAAAATAAAGAAAATAAATAAAATGAAATAAAAATTAAATAAAAAATAAAATGAAATAAATTCAATCATATCAAACGAAATAAAATAAAATTAAATTAAAAAAAATTAAATCAAATAAAATAAATTAATGTAAAAAAAAATAAAAAAGTTAAATAAAATAAATAAAATAAAGAAAATAAAAAAAAATGAAATAAATATTAAATAAAAAGTCAAATAAAATAAA